TCCCTCATTTCCTTTCCTTCCTTCCCTCCTTTCCCTTCTTTCCTTCCCTTTTCCTTCCTTCCCTCCTTCCCTCCCTCCCTCCCTTTCCCTTCCTTCCCTCCTTCCCTCCCTCCCTTCCTTCCCTTTCCCTTCCTTCCTCCCTCCCTCCCTCCTTCCCTCTCTCCCTTCCTTCCTCTCTTCCTTCCTTCCATAGATCTAGAACTGAAAGGGATCTCAGAAGCTGTGTTGCCCAACTCTTTTTTTTTCTGATGAGGAAACAGACCCAGAGAAGCTGCCTGATGTTATAAAGGTGATATATTTCAAAGACAAGATTTGAACCCAGGTCATCTGACTCCATTTAGTGCTCTTCGATCCTAGAAACACTAAAGTTTTACACTGGTTGGTTTCGATAAATTTTGAGCCTCCTCCCCTCCCCTTCTCCCGCTTTTGTTCTAAGCTAGCAGTTTAAGCATGTGGAAATATTTGAGTCATTCTGTAGATGAGGAAAAAATGATGGCTTTTCTCCCATATGGCATTTATCTTCTCCAGTGAGGAAAGATAATTTAGGAGTGTCAGGACTATGAGTGAGTTGTCCCAGCTCTTCCCATGGAGTGAAGATTAATGTCATAAGAAATCAGTTATCATGTATCTTTTTTATAAAGCATATACATATAGATGTGATGGAACATAGATTTTGATCTGGAAGGGACCTCAGAGATCATCTAAGTCAATCTCCTTCATTTCATAGATGGGATAATTGAGGCCCAAATAGGTTAAGTGCTTTGCCCTAGGTCATCATGTAATAAGTGACACAGCAAAGATTCTCTGCCACCTTTCATCACCTTTGAGGTGATACTTGGGAAGACAGAGTATGCTTAGCATGGGTGAGAAATGTGTCTTTCAACTTTCATTTTTATTTCTGAAAAAGATCCATTGGTTATGCAGCACCAAATATCAGTTTAAAACTTGGGATAGAATGTGGCATGGTAAAATATCGTAACTTTTTATGTAATGTAGCATTATTAATCCTGATAGTTTTTCAAAGTCTTAGAAACCACACTTCTAAAAACAATACAGCTTCGTTTTGAAAGGAGTGACTTGCAGTTTATGGTCACATAGGAGATAGTGAAATGAAAATTTTAATCTATGGGTATGGTAAAATGCTTATTGGTAGATTTAGGGTAAATGTTTAACACTGTGTACAAGGATTTGGTAGTATTAATCTTAACCGGGTTTGCTTGGCTAAATCTCCCTGCATTGAAGGTATAATTCCTAATAGAGAGCACATTAAGTCTCTTTGACTTGGGAAAGGCATCAGTGGGTTTCACCAATGCTTTAGCTTTGGCAGGATATGCTGTTTTTTTGGCTTTAATTGATTTACTGTGGCTCCTAACTCTGCATATCTATGTCCCCAATGTACCCAGTTCTGAAATAAAAATTAAAGTTGGAAGGTATTGGAATGGGAGGAAGGGGCCACTTTAATTGCCTCAGGGAATCATCTAACCAATTTTCAGCTTTCTCATTGGTGTCCTTGGAAGAAGGAGAATGGGGAAGAAGTTTAAGGAAGAAAACCAAGGAATTTTCCAGAAGCCAAGAAGAAACAAGTAGAAAAAGTAAAAGGAGTGTAAAAGTCTTAAAAAAATGGAACTTCAAAGGAAGCTTTGAAATTGGAAACAGTTTTATGCGATTGCAGAATGCATTGATGATGCTATGAAAAGTTGGACATAGATACCTTTAGTTAACAATTTTAACAGGAACAACCAAGAAACCCTTTCCCCATCTTTTCTTAATCTGTAGCTGTTCTAGTCGTCAACATCCCTAAACTAAACTAAACTAAATGGAACACACTATTTTAGTCACAGGTGATAGGTATCTTAACAATTAGGGTCTCAATGCTAATAAAAATTGAGAAGAATTAAGGGTTGGCACAGTTTGTATACATTAGTACACTCTAACATCTATCAGTCTAGGGACTGAATGTTCTTTGCATATCTGTTCATTTTGTTAAAAGAGATTTCTTCAGATCCTTTAAAGTCCAGATTGCCAGGATGGGAAAGATTAGAGGTAATAGAGAAATAGCTTTCCATTGGCCTCTCACACCCCATCTCACAGCTGCACGGACACACACTCTTCAGCCCAGGGGAGAAAGCAAACAGAAAACACCCAGAACTTCTGAGCCGTGTCAGGATAGCTGAAAGGGCGCTGGATCTCTGAGCGGCCTTTGGACAGCCGAAAGTGTCCTCTGGAGATGAAACAGTAAGTTTCATCTGTGGACATTAAGTCCACAGTGAATGGAGCAGTGCCGTGGAGTGCGTTTGAGTGAAGAATGGCTTAGCAAATAAACATTTAAAGCGTCCACGTGGACTGAGACCGGCTCTAGAGCTCTTTGACTTGAGGGCTGTGTCCGGGTTTTGCCCTGTTCTTTCTCCCACACACTAGTTCGGATACGCACAAGGTCATTTGCAGACGATCCTGCGTGTGGTGTCTCGAAGTGTGTACAACCGCAAAATGGGAAGGGAAGCTCAGGGCTCAGGAGCCTGTTTCAGCTGTCTTAGCCCATCAGGCAGTGTATTAATAAGGATGCTGTGACCCTCGGTCACTTTTGTTCCACCAAGAGTCCAAGCCACGCAAAGTGCTAGAGGGCCAATCCCGCAATTCCCCGGGGCTGAATTTGAGGATGACTTGATGCGCGCGCATGGGGTGGAGGGTCTGTAGCTGGGAAGGCTGGCAGAGGAAGAATCACTCTGACCCAAGTGTATTTCTGCCAATTCCGGGGGAAAGTCTTGGGGATGAGGAGAAGGGCACTGATTCCACTTTCCCTGGAATTAGGATCCCAGGATCAGATTTGAAGTTTGTTTTTTTTTTTGGGGGGGAGGCGAGAAACAACCGGATTTGGATGAATGTGTGCATTTTTTTTTTAATGTTTGAATGTGTTTGCATGTACACTTCTACCTCCAGCTTGCCCCTCCCATGCTCCTGAGCCCAGACCCCTTGACCCACCGTTTTGGTTAAGGGGGAATTTCTGATAGTTTGAATTTTGAAGCATACTTTTCCTCCCGTAGCCCTGGACTTCCATTAATTCAGGTGATTGTTCTCTTGAGCTGTCGGAGGGAGTCTTCAGGACACCAAAGGATGAAGTGATATTCCGGATCCTGAGCCTCAACATCCCGCTCCTCAACCGCGTCCCACCCCAACAGAGCCCATCCTCCCATCCTCAATCCTGCCCCATAGTCACCACATCAGTCTTTGAACTTATGGACAACGCTTCGCTGCTTTTGGCGTCCGCCGGGTGACACCCTCCTCCCTTGGGCGGCCAGTCCTTAACTAGCGTCAGGTAGCCCCGAGGCTAAACTGAGGCTAGAGTCTAGACCAAAACACCCAGTCAACGTTTCAGCTGCTTAACTACTGGAGGTTACTTATCTCCTGAGGTGGGGGTGGGGAGGAATGGGTGGAACAAGGAACTAGATTGAGCTTCACCAAAGGAACCTTTTTTATATGGAGACCAACCACTTCTCTACAACCTGAGCCACTGAGGTGAAGCAGAGGGGGAGGGAAGGAAGCGGCCAGAAAGCCCAAAGAGGGTTTTCCCAATCTGTGGCAATTGAGGGAATCGCCCCATCCCGCAAACGTCAACTTTCCCAAGGAAAAAAAAAAGTACACACAAAAAAATCCCTTAGCACTCAAACTTCAACTGCCACAAAACCCACCTTTCCCCTCGAAAACCTAAACCCAAACCCAAATCACGGGCAAAAACCTAAATTCAATCTTTCAAAAACATCGGGTCCTGTTTAGTAATCCCAAGCAATCCCCAGTACGGGGAACTTGAGATTTCACTAGGTTCCTTCCCATCAATCAATCAGGAATCAACCTAAACCGTGGGGGTAGGGAAGACTTGGGTCCTTCTCTACCACGACTTTCAAACTGCTTTTCTGGGTAGTGGACTGATTTTAAGCCAAGCACAGGATGTAGCACCACTGGGATGATTTCACTCGGACAAACTGCGAGTTGTAATTTTTTGCTGTCGCTGGGTCTCTAATGTTTCTTTCCCCAGTTTTATCTCCCTTCCATTCTCTACACCTGCCTCCTCCCCATTCCCGACCTAGAGCCTCGTGCCATGCACAACTGGGGTTGAGCCCACCTTACTGACAATATCATAGGGTTTATTAGCACTGGAAGGCACTTTTAAGAATTCAGCTAGTCCCAAACTCCTACCTAGGGTGGAATTATCCTAAAGTTCCACTTCGACACCTCTATAAGATGTCAAATAAATAAAGTAGCTTGTTTTCTCTGTCCATAAATCATCCCCCCAAACCCAAATATAGCAAGTACAGCTTTGGGGACATCTAGCTAATTTCCCACTCGGTGAGAAAGTTTTCCCCACGTGGTCTCCTCCCTTCCCTGGCAAAAGGTTTCTGAAAGACTGCTAGGGACTAGGCTCAATTTAAGTCAAAGCTGGGTGCAACAGAGTGGGCGGGGCAAAAGTTGCATACAGTTATTTCTCCACACTTGTTAACATTAGTTTAAAAAAGAACGCCCCCCCCAACTTTCGAAGAACCTGCAAGTTTGTACTCTTGGACCAATAAAAAAATTAAATTACTCGAAGAGCGAAGGAAGCAACCAGCCGACAAAAACAAAACGAACCAGTCACATTTTGTACTTGTCAGTTTCACCGCTGGCGATTTAAACTTTCAGTTGCTAGTCTATGAAGAGGACCTAAAGAAAAGGAGGAAGGGGGAACTGGGGTGGGGTGGGAGCGGGGGATGGGGGTGGCACAAAGGAGTGGGTCGGGCAAGTGGTCGGGTGGAGGGGAAGGGAGCTTATATCGTTAACGCAGGCCAGTTGGTTTAAGAAATTTTGCAATCGCTGGAAAGGTCATTGAAGGAATTGAATGCAAAAAAATAATCATCTTAAAAAAGAGTGCCGGGCATGCGCAGTGGGAGGATGCCATATTGGAATGAGTCTGTAGTGAGAGAGCGGGAGGGAGAGGGGAGAGAGAGCGCGAGCGAGCAAAGGGAAGGAGAGAGAGAGAGAGAGAGAAGGGAGAGCGAGAGAGAAGGGGAGAGGGAGAGAGACACACACACACAGATCGCCTTTTCACAACTGAGCTGAGGGGGGCTTTGCCTTTTTAGAGACTGGGAAAAAAAAAACAAAACTTCATCCAGGTAAGACGTCGCTCCGGGCGCTGCTTCTCCAGGCGTCCCACACTTAGCATGGTTAAGGAAATCTCTGGCTGGCAGGTTGAGCGCGCCGATTAGCAGATTTTTTTTTTTTCCAGTTTAGGAAAAAAAAAGGAGGGGGGAAAAGGAGAGCTTTTGGGTAAGGGGCGAAGGCTATGCGTGGAAGGAAACCATCCCAACCTCAAACTCTCAAACTCTCCTTGATTGCTTGTCTGCAATGGTTTTTTAATTTTTAAAATTTTTGCTTCTCCCCCCCCCCCGAAAAACGAGGATGGGAGTGCAGGAGATCCAAGCATCCTAGTTGTAAAGTGCCTGGTTTTGTAAACTGCGTCTTCCTCACCCTCTTTATTTGTCCCCTTTACACCTTTATTGGTGAATGCCCTTCTTTTTGCACTGGCATCACCATCCTTTTGCTTCTTCCAAGGTTCTTCTTTTGTAGTTTTTTTTGGGGGGGGCGTTGGGAACAACAGCAGGAGAAGGTGGGGGGCAAGGATGGTTAGGAAGACAGCTAGTGCATTTATATATATATATGCACACATACACATACATCTGTATTTTTTTTTAAAGTAGTGTTGGGAAGGATTTGCATATGTAGCTAAAATGAAATTACCACTACTTCTGGAGGGTGCTTTGGAATGGATGGGCTCTCCTTTTTTCTTCTATTTTTTAAAAAAGTAATATCCTGTCATTTGGGGCTTTCCTGTTCATGTGACTTTCTTTCGAATTGACTAGACTTGATCTCTCTGTAGTCTAGAGTTTATTTTCTTGCTTTTCTTGGTGTTTTCCCCCTCCCCCTCCATCAAGCAAAAAACTGCACGAACTGTTTTATTTATTTATTTTGATAGGGGGTGAGCAGTGGAGGGAGGAGGAGGGTTGTGTGTGTGTGCGTGTGTGTGTGTAGGTGCATGAGATGTTGAACAGATATCTAGAGCCTGATCATTACGTGTTTTCTCCGAAGCTCTACAACTGCGGTAAATGAATATTTATAAATCGTGTCAGTTTCAACATGGCGGGCTAAGGTGTCTTTTAAAAACTGAAAATAAAGATTTTGAGGTGGGAAAAAACCCAACCGGAGATGCCAACCCTTAGGTTCTACTCTCTTTGGTTACCCCAGGAGGAGTTTTAGCGAATTAAATGGGAAAGCAAGATAGGGGCGAGCCTGCCCTAGTTTTTTCCGCGGTAAAATTCTCAGTGTCTAAAGTCCATTACAGGAAGGGAAGGGAAAGGAAGGGAGGGGGAGAAG